TTTTAAAATCGGTTAATTTAAAATTGCGTGTTTTAAATATTCGAATTGAGAAATGGGGCAGGCTTTTGGATTAATTAAATGAACTTGGACTTTTGAATTTGTACCATGGTTCATGAGGTCAGATGGTGAGACTTTTAGAATCTTTGCTGGCTTTTCTTAATTTAATTTTCTTGCATTAAACATTTAATTTTAATTTGTCCTTTTTTTTACTGTAAATTCATTGATTCATGCATCTTTTAAGTTCCATGAGCAAACAATGAATTCAGTTTTCTTAAAAAAGGAAAAAAATGTTATACAATTTAAATTAAATTAAATTACACAATATTAATTATTAAATAAAAACAAACTTTATGATATTAAACTTTATGATATTAGGACCCTCTCTATTTAATGATTTTTTTGACTCTTTAAAAGATCCACATATAGCCTGTTTATATACAATATGGAATTGTTTTTTGTTATTAAAACAATGTCTATAGAACTAGCATGTTTTGTAATTCTATTTGAAGCTTTTTAACATAGATTCCCAAATTCTAAGAATGAAAATACCTGGTGGGCAGAGGGAAAAAGATTTGAAACATCTCGTTAAAGAACTAGAACCATGAATTCTTAATCAAGGAAGATTTCAAGCAAACTAAGACGAACATTTGTGAAGAAACATGAGTTTTGATCATGGGAAATTTGGAGAAATAGGTTACACCTTTAACCGCTTCAATTCAAAATTTAGAGGTCAAAAGTTCTTAAATTTGAGAAACACAATTAGGACACGAAAATTTGTTTGAATAGATTCTATTATGAACCCTAGATAGCGGAAATTTTTAATCATGATTTTCAAACATTAATTGGATTAGCTAGCTGAAGGCAAGATTTGTAAGAAAGAAGGAAGTTTGGTGGGCGAAATGTTCTAACATTTCTTTATGGGCTAGTAGGAAAAAGTCTACAATAAAACCATGTATATATATATATCCTTCATGGTACCACACATTAATTAAATTTTGATACATTACTAAAATAATAAAAATGTAATATTTTTCATTTCCTCCAACCTCATATGACTGCTACTCTTTATTTTAGCTAAATTTTTAACAACGTCTTAAATTATTACTAAGCAATTAGAACACTTACCTGTGTCAAATTTTGGTACATTATTAGATTTAAGCCCCTAAACTTTTTGAGTAACATATAAGTCCTTAAATTAGGATACTGTTACAATTAAGCCCTTGCTGTCAAATCATTAGTAAAATGGGTTAATTTCAAATAGTCCCCAAACCCCTCAAATTTTAAATAATGGGTTCACCTTTTTTTCATTTTGGTTAATTGGTTTATATAAAATTTGGGGACTAAATTTGTCTGAAATTTTAAAAGTTATGGCATCAAAACGAATTAACCCATTTCATATGATCTTTCTTTGCTAGACCAGAAAAAAATTGGATGATTACATTTCCATTTTACCTTCTAGAAAAGCAAGGTCAGGCTGGTGGGGTGCCTTTGGCTTTGCTTCAAGGGTTGACCAAACAAAAGCCAGTAGCCACTTCTCCACGCCAGTTTTTTTTTTCTTTTTTGGGCACCTGAACTTTCATTTTCAGTAAACAAAAATCTCCACAGAAGTCGACAAGCAGTTTGAAAGATCATGTGTTTCGGTGATAATATTGTTTGCAATGCAAATATCTATTAGGGACTTAAATAGAAAGCTTACAAAAGTTATAGTAAAATTTATTTTTGGCATTGTTTTCATAAGATTTACAGCTGAATTTAAGAAAATGTTATGTATTTGGTACAATTTCAAATTTAATTTAGCCTTCATTTTTTTTTTTGACAATAAAAAATGGTTATGGTTAATGTTAGTATCTGTTTATATTTAGAAATAATCAAATAGCTGAAGAAAGAGATATAGTGTTGCTACCACTGAACCACATGAGACCTGCAGCCTTCATTCTTTAAAATTTGCATTGGGACAAGGATTTTCTTGGATTAGGATGTTAGGTAACTCCCAACCACCCCTGGTGAAGAAGAAAGGTGTACTACCTTTAATTTGTCATTTTCGTGGCATATATATTTTATGGCAATTGTATAAAAAATTGTGTTAAGTAATAAATGAACAAAATGCAAAAAAATAGATGAAGTGTCACTAACTTAGGTGAATGGGCATGGCACCAATTCATTTGGACCTACAAAAGGAAAATGAAAGAAAGAAAGTATGGAGATGGTTGCCTAAAAATGCAAATATCCAACCAATGAATCCTTACTTTACCCACCCCCACACACAAATCCTTACTTTACAAGATTCCACACCAATATACCGAACTTAGAATGAAGAGAAGTGATAATGATGGGATTCATGGGACTTGAGCCATTATTCTTTTTGTAGGCAAAGAGGTGGAAAATCTTTTAGACCCAATAAAAGAAAATTTCCTAGTTGCCACGTGGACAACAAATTAAGATCAATTCTATTTGAAGAAAAGCATTCAATTACAATAATTAGTTGAACAATAATGATAAATGGGAAAAAAAAATTTTGAACAAAAATTTTAAACCAATTACATGGCATAAATTATGTTATTTAAAATATTAAAAAGTTAGTTCTATATTATTTAATGATTATTTTTTTTATTTTTAAAAAACTTATAATATTATATGTATCAACTAATATGATTTAATTATACCACATCATTGATCTAATTTTTAGTCTTAAATTTTTATCTTTGTATCACTACTCTTAGTTGAATCAATTTTACAAACAAATAGTTGTATATTTGAATTAGGGTTTTAACAGTCAATAGAAATAGAATAATATACACAAATTATCGATTTTCAAGCCCATATACTACATATCGAATTCTCTATTTGCTCAATTGAGACTCTAAGACTCTGCAATAATAACAATAATCACAAACTAAATACAACTAGTTAGTATCTATTATATATTAGTACACAAGAAATTTTCTAGTAGTGGTAAAAATTTCATTGAAAATTTTCTTTTCAAGGGAAGAAAAAGACAATGTTTATAAATAGCGATAAGAGGCTTAATTGTATGATATCTTAAAATTTAAGTAGTAAAATATCTTAAAATTTCCTCCTTTTACTTAATTTCTATTAAAGAAGATTAAAACATCTTAATTTTAAAAATAAAAATGGGACTTTTAATATTTTCTTATAGCACTTTGTTAAACGACATAATTATAAATATTTTAAAACTTAAAATTTTTTATATACTCTACTAATAAACACTAATTTTTATATCATATCATTTCTGTCATAATTTAAAATGAGGATATCTCTTCATGAGGACCTAATAAAAACAATTTGAAAATATCAGGGACCTAATTACAATAATTGTGAAATTAGACTCCGGATTGAATCGGGAGTATATCCATATAATACAAACAATAATGGTGTGTACCAAAAAAACAAACATTAATGGTGGAGAAAAAAATCTGGTCAGAGTCATATAGCAGCAGTTGATCAAATTGCAGTAGCACCAATATTATGTTGGTGTGAATGGAAAGATCTCGATTTTTTTTAAATAAAATTTTAAATTTAAATTTTGTAAATAAAAAAATAAATATTAATAAAATTTTTTTTAAATAACATCTTACGCGATTCGATTTTTAATTAATGGAGATTTAACATGATTATCGAAAATTGATATATTAGTAAAAAAAAAAAATTCAAACTGCAGTGGCGTCGTGTCGCCAGTGCTACGGCGGGATCAACAGCTGTTTGTTGAATGTCAAGCTTCCACGTGTTTTGTTATGAACGTTACTTACGGTAAGGGGCAGGACTTCCAACTTTTTAAGGCACGTGACGGCTTTTAAGTTTCGTCAGGAACCAGTTTCATTTTGTCGGCTACGATCATGCCACGTTGCAGTGGTCAATCCAATCCAAAGTCAAAGCAGAAAAAAAACGGCTAACTAGTTGCCTTGTCTAAACTCCCTTTTTTTCTTTTTCTTTTTTGGTTTAATACCCTTTTTGGTCCCTCTACTATAGGAAAAAACCCTTTTTTGGTCCCTGTACCGAAAAAATTCCCTTTTTGGTCCTTACTGTTCACAAATCCGGCCCCTTTTTAGTCCCTCCGTTAAATTTTGGCTGAGGTGGCACGTTAATTAACGGAAAAATTAATTTTGTTT